AACACATTACCCTTAAAAATTGAAAAAAATTCCCTCGTTCCCCGTAAAAGGGGGAAACCTCCAAAAAAATTACAAATTTAAAAATCGCTAATTTTCGAAATTTTTTCAATTTTTTTTACTTAAAAGTGCCATAACTTTTTCAAAAATAAACATATCAATATAATTCTTTTTTATATAGATGCATAATATCATTACCTTTCATTTGGTATATTTTTTTCATAAATTTAACCCTTAACCTGCCCACAAGGGGGGATTTAAAATGACAACTTTTTCACAAAAAATTAATTTTTTTAACTTAAATTTTGAAAATGTTCCGGAAGGTCTGACACTTTTATATATATCTTAAATTAAAGCTAATGTAATATGCTTTATCATGAAAAAAAAAAATTTCGGACTTTATCTTATCTTCATGGTGAAAATGGCTACCGAATGCTATTTTTGTGTGAAAATTTTCGATTTTGTATTTTCCATTTTTAACTTTATTATGCTATAACTTTTTGAAAAATGTATGAATCATTACAATTTTTTTATGAGAAGTAGTATTTATATAGATCTTTCATTCGACATACTGTTTTTTTAAATCGGACCATTTCCCTAAATACAGGGGGGATTCAAAACATAAAAATGCATATAGAAAGTAGAACTTTTTCAACGTAACTTTTGAAAGTGTTCCGGAAGGTCTGACACTTTTATATATATCTTAAATTAAAGCTAATGTAATATACTTTATAATGGTAAAAAAAAATTTCGGACTTTATTTTATCTTCACGGTGAAAATGGCTACCAAATGCTATTATTATGTGAAAATTCTCGATTTTATTTTTTACATTTTTAACTTTATAATGCTATGACATATTTAAAAGTGTATGGATCAACATTATTTTTTTATAAGAAATAATATTTTTTAATAATCCCTTTTTCATTCGACATACTTTATCTTAATTAGGATATTAATAATGAACTAGCAGATCATGTAGCTTTTGGAATAATCCACCAATTTTTTAAAATTAAACACTATCTAAAGATTTGCATCGAAGCGTTTTTTTTTTATAGTGATTTTAATCACTGTCAGATATTATTATACTTGATCCATCTATGCCACGTCACCACTGTGCTGCGATCCCCCTGTGCTGGATTTTTTAGTTCGATAATATATAGCTAAAATTATACTTATTATATGTATTCGCTCTCCTTTTAAAAATAGGACTTACTTTTGGCATACGATGTCCTATTACTGATTTCTCTTTAAAAATTGCATAGTGATAAGTAAATACATTTTTAATATACTTATCTTAAAAAGTATACAGTGCATTTATTAAGTTAGTAAACTAGGTGACACAAATGTCGCCCAGTAAATTTTTGATGTCGCTAAATTAATTATAATTTTTATTTCTGCGATACCATTTAGACGACATAATTTAATCTAAAAAAATATTTCTAACTTAATTTAATTAGCTATTTATATTTAAAAATAATTTTTATCTGTCATTCAATGAGAATCTGTAAAAAAATATATAAACTTATGTGTAAGTTTGTAACATTGTTAATTTGTAATGAATTTAACTTGGGTTTATAGTAACCGTAATTAAAGTATTAATTATTAGATTTTAAAAAATATTGCGAGTTATAATAAACAAACATTATATTATTTGGTATTTCATCTTTAATGAATAATTTAGCTATTTAATTTAACATTTTTTAATATTTTTTATATATCGTACGATTTTCGTGAGTAAGGTCATACTTATCATTTGATTTGTTGCCATACTTTGTTAGGATCACTAATTTTTTTATTGTAATGTGTAAATTATGTATGATATGTTCTAAAGTATTTCCTCGGATAAAATTGTTTGTGTAGGTGTGTCAGTACACTTTTGTTTGTTATATTAATGAAACCGGTCGTGATTCTTGAGCATAGCTTGGAGTATGTTTAATTTATCCAAATCATAATTAATAACTTTTATTATTATTAAATTGTCTGTAATTTTATCAAATATGCGAGTATTGCACTTGATTTACAACTACATCTTTGAATTACTCTTACAGTTAAATGTATGTTATACGATATATAGTGTTCAGTATGTAAGAAAACGGGTTTCTATTGTTCTCATCGTTTATAACAATTTACCTGTTTCCTTACTAACTAAACACACTGTATAATATTCATACATAATGGTTATGTTGTATAGTCGGTAGAAATAATCAATAAATTTGTTCACAGTAGTCCAAAATAAGCTAGCAAAAGGTACTTAGTGTTGTCATAGTACCACTTTATCTACTTTTATCTGGTCGCATCGTTAATTAATCTTAATTCGTTCTCTTTGTATTAAATAAATAGTATGCATGACAAAAATTGTTTGTTATGTTGCCTACGTTATTATTACAGGGGGCATTATTTTATACTTTTGTGAATACAAAATAAATCTTAAACATTCTATTGTTTCACCATCTTTGGTCGTTAAATACTAAATACATTATGTACTAGTATTTTATTTTTGAAGTTCAAGTTTTTTATTTTCTTAAAATTAATATTTGCTGATTTTTAATAATTTTAGTATTGCACAAAAATTATAATATAATCATTAGAACTTTGTGAAAATATCACATAATATATGAGTTCTTAATGTAAGAATTTAAATATAATAAAATTAATCATTATTTTTTGTACATATCGTTCTGAATTTTTTACTATTACACTTTCAATGTATTTTTACCAACAAACATTTATATATAAATAATTTCTTAGACTGTTTAAATGATTAAAACAATTAATTTACTAGTATATTTTATGTGATTAAAAAACAATTGTCAATAATTAAATTTATAAGTTCAAAAGGCATTTTCAATTTCCATTGTATCAAATGTGTTTTTATATTACATGACATTATAAACTGTATTATTCACTGTGATGATTATGTTGCAATACTGTTATCTTTATAAGCATTTAAAATATTTATTAAAATGCATCTCTGTTAAAACAACACAATACAATTTTTTAACAGAATAAACACTATTTTCATCAATTATTTGCATATTTTCAAATCTTAGGTTATCAAACAAACAAGTTTTATGAACTTTTTATCCAATATCAGCTTCTAAATTTACTTTTAAAAATATATTCTTAAGAAACCATACTAACTGCACTACTATTTCGTTCGTTGTAAATGAATACCACCTACGTAAATGCCCTAAATTCAAAACTTAATATAATTAGTTTAATTATGCCAACCTAAATAAATGTTGAGATCGAATCGAGGTGAATAGTTATTAGATAATGAATTTTTTTGTATGTATTTATTCTCGCAGTATAAAATTACAAGGAAAATAATTGTTCTAAAAAATTAAAAGGTAGCATCTATGATATTGCCTTGGAAAACATAATATCTTAGAGTGGCCTTGAATTAAGCTATAAGTTAAATTAATCCCAATCAATTTCTTACCAAATATTTCTAAATAAATTATACATTTCGAAGAAGGAATAAACGTCAGAGTATCAAAATTTGTATCAATCATCTAGAAGCTTTTGCTTTTTAAAAACGATGAAAAATGGACTAACTATTTAGTTGATTATATGATGTAATAATGATTGCCAATAGAACACTCACTTGTGAATTCTCACAAGTACTTATCACAAACTTCATTATTAAAAAAAAATCACTTATTCAATTTGGTAGTTCATATTGATAAGAATAATTATATTCTGTGTAACTCAGTAATTATTAAATTATATAAATATAATTTATAAGTGCTGCAATACCTATAGTAATTTTTCGTTATTACTATCGCTAAAATTATTATTCAATATTGTTCCGTTAGCAAAAAGTATTTTTTTGAACGTTAGGTTTAAGAACAGGGCTTAACTAAAAAAGATCAAAGGGGATAACTTAAATTCTTAAAGTCACCTCCATACCACCACAAAACATTTTTTGAATATAAAATATTAAAAAAAATTAGTAGGTAAACATTTCAAGGATTTTTTCAAGAGAAAATTGAATCAGTTTAATCGACTCATTTGTCTCCTAAAAAAATTACTTCGTAATAACTTGGGTTCTTTATATTTATTTATATTTTTAATCATATTTCCAATCGATGTAAGTTTAAACTTTATTTCTTTTCCATGTTTTTAATTTTTTAAATTGTACTATTAAATATGTATTTTAAATGTAACGGAACTTTTATAAATAATATAAAGATTTTAATCATTATTTAAAGTTGAATATACTTTGTTTATTTAATTCATGATTACATATAACGTTAAAAGAAATTTTGGTTTAAATAAAAATGACTTATTTATTTTTTTAATTACCTAAGTATAAAATTTTATACATTTTTTGAATATGTATTTTTTTGTGATATTACCGGAAATAGCTTTGAAAAAACACTATCGTGTTTAAAGTAACTGTAACATTAAAATTTATATATATATATATATTCAGGAAACAGTGAAGTATTAGTAAAAACATTCACCGAGTTTGGCTATAACGATGTCTATGAAACTGTATAATTTATTATTTAAGATCTTGTATAAAAAATTTGTTGATTTCGGGAATACAAGGACTTTAAGTTTCAACGTTTATATTAACTCGTAATTAAAAATTAATAAATCATATTTAATTAGTTTCACCACAATGAAATGTATATCATTGTTGAGCAATCGATAATTATAACTATTTTATACTTTTCTTCGTTGTGTCCACATTCGGTTAAAATAATAATAAAAAAAAAGTGTTTTGGTTGGGTTAACTAATTTATCATGCATTGTTTACATTTTTTTCAATAATTATTTTCGAATTTATTTTTACTGTTAAGAATTATTAAATTATTAATTTTATTTTCTATTGTGCTTATTAAAATATTATTTGATAACAGCAGAATGTTTGTTAAAATAGACTGGGAGGGAGGACTGCTACGGCGTTATTCAAGGCAAACAAAGGTTATTTCCTATAGTCCCTACTACCAGCGCTCTGCCAACTGTAATGTGCACCTTAGCGTTGTAGCACTACTTGTAACGACGAGTAGTGACAGCGATGAGCTGTAGGGATACGGGTGTGTGACAACTGTTGACGTCCCCATGTCCGGATAGTTCGCGATAGTCACTTATGAACACTTACTATTATTTATTTGTTTTGTAAAAGTATCGTCTGAATCGACTAACACTAGAGTACAATATGATCATCGACGAGTCAGCCGCCGTCCCTATGGACGAGCTACTCTCAGCTAATCCGGATGGTTTAAATAATCCGTTGTCTGTTGACAGAAAAAGCTCATCGGTCAAAATAAACATGATGTCAAGCCAGACGAAGACGTTGAGCCACCTGCCCAAAAGGCCGCCAGTGGATATTGCGTTCGCTGATTTAGTTTACACCGTGTCCGAGGGCACCACTAACAGTAAGTAGATTACTTTGATTATTAAAACGTTATTTTTACTGGGTCAGTTTTAATGGAGTTGTTTGATTTTATCCGGCTAATGATTCGAACATTACTAACACAACGAGCCGAAGTTGTCGCTGGTGTTAAATATTGTGGCCAAAGTAGCTACTAAGTGAGTCATGGACGATAACATGCAGTTTTCTTTCTAAACGACCTAAAAAATGTCGTTAAATCATCGTGCATTTTCATTTGGTTACAAGTACTAGGAAAGTATTGTTTCGCTGCAAAGTTTAGAGGCCGATAAGGTCATTAATGGTACACAACCGAAACGTGATATGACAAAACTAACATTTGTGTTTGAAGTCCATATCAAACACGTATGAATCTCATATAAGTTGTAATGCCTCGGGCAAATTATTTCTATCGCGGTAACGAAGGTCACAGTGTTTATTCAGTAGTTTTTTAATTATGTTTTTGTGCAAGTCTTGCCGGCAATGAACATTATTGAAACAAATTACTACTTATCCGGAGGCGTATTTAAAACTCAAATTCTCAAAATATAATGATTACAAGTTAGACATATTTCGAAAATATCTGCTACATAAAATGTTGATAGCACTTGTTCAAAGGGATCGATCTCCTCTGTCACTCCCTAGAATACGAACCTGTACTTATTTATTAAAATTTATTGTATTGGAAGGAGGTTGATTACGTTACATAGGCAATTGTTTTTTCTGATTTATGTTCCAAGTTATGATAATCCTTAAAAGTAGAATTTGCATCTATATTTCAGTGATCATTTTTGAATTTCATATACATAATTTAATGATAATAGTATTATGGTAGAAGGACGGAAGGTCACTAGAGTTTGCCCCTTCCAGTGTAGTTCTGTGAAAAAAACGTCGAATACACAGTAGTTCAGGGTTTTCCAACATTTTTATTCATCTGAAAATTGTTCTAATGACCACTTCGTCGTTTTTCACTTGCGTGACTAAGAACAGCTATATTAAGAATACACTTAAGTATCGATTAAGTATTTTTTGATAGTATCGTTACCCACCAGTATATTAGGCCAACAAAAATAGTTAATATAAAGAAATCATTAAAAAATATAGCTATTTGATGCAAGACAATTTTTTATTCGATATTGATCCTGACCGTGCACGTTTTCTTATAATAGACCAATGAATAAGTATTACATAATAAGACAATAAGTCTTTTCATGTCTAGTTAATATAAATTAAAGTAAATCCTGAAATATTTTGTATGCAATTGTTGACAGTATTATAATAAAATGTCTTTACTACTTACAATAATATATTAATTTTTTTTAATCGTAAGAAAACAACGATTTGATACTATACGAAAATTAAGCAAATATTATATGCTTATATATGTAATGTGCGATAACGTTAACAATAAACGTCGTAAGCAAAAATATATTTGTAATTATTGATAACATTAATTTCCATGCGTCATTGGAGTATAAATCAAATGGCTAGTATAATTTAAATAGGAAATACATTTGATTGTCTGATTAAGGAGGGCAAACACAACGAATACATCCATAAGCTCAAAGGACCCATAACAAATTTTACTAGCCTGTTAATTAGTGATATACAGTTTCTTTTTTTGCTCATCATTTTTTATGGTAACGATATCTTCCATAGGGAAAACCGTCTCAAGGTACCATTCCGGAACTCGTGTAGGAGGTTTAATCCGGCCTTGTTGAATCCTGTTATTTAGGACAACTTCTTAAAATGTGTGTGAAGAATTAATGAAAAATGGTATTTTTGGCACTATTATAAAATATTATTTAAACCTTCCTTGGATTGCTTATGCTTGCTTAGTATTATTATTTATTTGAATATAATGTTGTATTTACTCTACATATGACATTGGATTATGTATAATTTCATAAGAATATCATTGCAAACGTGAAAATACAATGTATTTAATATGGAGGATTATAATTATGCACCACAGGTAATTTTTAGATGTGCGAAATACACCTTAGTTATATATATATATATATATTATGTAATTTTCATAATTATATACTTTTCTATTATGAGAATTATTTTCCTTAACGCATTTGAGTGAAACATTACCTAATAGCTAACGTCTCCTAGTCGCCCATAACCGGTTAAACTCGGTAAAAGTATTGCTATATTTTTCATTTAAATTTGTCGAGATTAAAACGTGTAAACATCTTTTTTTTAATGTCTATGTTAAAAGTTTGCGAAGACTAAAAGTTCTAATTTATGTGTTTAGATATGTACTGTTGTAGTTCTGAGTATTGAGTTTAGATTTTAAAATAATTATAGAGAATCTGTTAAGCCTTGAAAAAAATTACATAAATTTTCTTATTACTATTACGTATACCTTTTAGAATGATTATTTTGACTAATAAGAGTCACTGTTCTGTATATTTTTTGTAGTCCAACAATTACCACAATAATTGAAGTCGGGGAAAAATTCTAGGAAATTAAAGTTAATGGTTTTAAATAAAAAGTTGTTTATTATAAAATATTTTCTTGATTTTTGTTTGAACAAAGCCAACATAATGTGATTTTATTCTTGAATAGTGATAACTTTTTAGTGGCGATTATTCAGTGTTTACCATAATTGTTATTTTATAAAATGTTAATGTCTAGACTCTAGACTATCTTGCGCACGTATAAAAACATGTATTAAGCTACTTGTCAGTTGTTTATATTTTCTACAATTAATCATCTACTCATATAGGCATCGTGCGTGATGTGCATAGAATGTAATTCGTTTTCTTTGCAGCATATGTTAATGGTTAAAAATAAAAAATTCTTTAAAAATCCAGTTTGTTATGTTTGCTAAAATTTAATCGTCATGTAGTGTACCTAATGAATACAGCTAGGAACTCAAGTGAAGTTGACAGATGTTATTGTAAAAATAATATTGAAATATTAAGTATCCAAAGTTATAAAATCTTCAGCGAATTTTATACAGAAGGTCATAGTAAATTCATTTACGTCCTCGCAAAAACCGGTTGATATTTCTTTTATTGAACATTGAATAATAATTTATGTAGGCGACAGAAGTAATGAGAACCCCTACCGCAATGGCCACACAGCAAAATAATAAAATTTTATTAGTCTATGTACATAATGGAGTAATGATAACAACTGATTTGTTAACTTGAAGCTTGTTGAAATCGCAGACTTAGCTAAATAATTATTATAGTTATGAAATCTTTATGTTCTATAATTTCAATTTATTAAAATTAATAATTTAATCTACATCCAAATGGTCTTCAAAATATTTATCTAAATTATAACAAGTGCAAATTTAGGGACATAGAAGGATTTCGACATTCCAATTATAAATTAGCCCCTCCAGAATTTCAGGAAACTATTTATATAATTATATAAAAATACATTTTAGATTGAAGAACGTTAGATATAATAAGCTTCTACAATAGTTTTGTTGAAATTGCACCTATGGAACAATAACAATTTTCGTGGAAAGCAATTTTACTATTATACTATTATTATAGTGTAAGATCTAATTTTTTACAAGAAGATTTTTTAAAGTCATAAATTACAGAAATCTGCTTCAATTATGGTTATTTATTCATTTTGGGGGCCACTGCTTCCATGACCACTCTTTTACATTTGTGAATTATGGCATGTTTTTTGTCGTATAACACAAGTTTTGGTTTTGATATACAATCGTATTGTCTACTTAATATACTTTATTGAAGTACTTGTCATTTTTAGAATAAAATAATGTTTTTTGTCTCGTTCTCTCCATTTTAAAACATTAACTCGAAGGTTTTTTTATGTTTCTCATATTCACACAATAGTTGAAGTAAAACCAATATTGATCAAATTAATTTTGTGTAAACAACAAGAAGGATTTAATATTTATGATTAAATTCTAGTCAACATGTTTTTTTAAATAATTTTATATTGTGCTCTCAAACTGAGTTAATGTGTCCTTATTATTACCAACTATTCATGTTTAATATACTAAAGTATGTAATGCATTCAGATAAAAAACCGGTCACATGCAAGCCTATCGTCCTCTGATTGAAATAATTAGACGTCATAGTGTAGTAGCTATTTGCGTTCAAAATTCTTAAATTAACAAGCTTATAATAACACAGGCCATGACCGTACTTATGACGTGGAGAAGCTATTTAATCGTTGTGGAAATATGTTATGATTATCGGCTAAAATATTAACATAATGACATTTTTATGAATGTTATGTATTGTTTCAGGTACAAAAAATATATTAAAATCAGTCAGCGGTCGTTTGAAATCCGGCGAACTGACGGCCATCATGGGCCCGTCGGGTGCTGGAAAATCAACTTTGCTAAACATTCTCACCGGATACAAGTAAGAAATTTTACCTCGATTACAATTTGTTGTCCCAATCGATGTTGTAATATTGTTATCATTTTCTTACCCCATAGGCTTTATTTAATGAACGGTTGGGCTTGTAATTATCTACGTGCATATATTAATATTATCGCATTTTTATTGAACACGCCAAGCCTATTTTAATATGTATTTTGTTCCACTGGTATAGTCATACGCAATCAGCTTGGTTTTTATCGCATTGGCCTATCTATCGAACAAAGTTTTTATTAACTCTCGATGTCTATAGTCCACTGTAATAATTTCCGGAGTTCATTTTTTACACCGTAAACATATCTATAAATATTAATTTAATTTTGCAAAACACTGACCTATTTTTCAAAATTAGTTCATTAATTATTTTATCAACCATAATATTGTCTATACATTATAGGTGTTCAGGAATTAAAGGATCTATAACCATAAATGGTTACGAAAGAAATTTAAGTAGATTCAGAAAATTGTCATGCTACATTATGCAGGACAATCAACTTCATGCTAATTTGTCTGTTGATGAGGCAATGCACGTAGCATCATCTTTAAAGTTAGGATCAGATATAACTAAAGATGGCAGACACCAAGTGGTTAGTTTTGTCTATTTCACTTTGATATAGAATAAAATAAATTGAATGATATGCGTTATTTTATTTTGAAAGATCCAAGAAATTTTAGAAACTTTAGGATTACACGAACACAGGAGAACAATGACTAGTAATTTATCCGGAGGACAAAAAAAACGTTTATCAATTGCTCTTGAATTGGTGAACAATCCTCCGATTATGTTTTTTGACGAACCTACTAGGTATGTTGATGACATATTTAAACAAATAAATTTTTGTATTTTTATTTCATAGAATTATATCGATTTACATACATTATACATCGATATATATATTTTATGCCATTTAGCTGATAATAGATTGTCATTATTAAAATTAACAGTAATGTGAAAAATTGTTATACAAACATTTTTCAGATTAACACAAGCCTAAAGACATAATTAAAAAAAACACATAATTATAAAATTAATACCTTTTCAGCTTCGCATCGAAGCTAAAATTAAAACTTCAAAAATCGTTGCCATTAATAATTTTTCTACACCTGATAAACTATAAAGTTTAATTCTAAAAAGCTCGTTAATAAATTTTTATTTTTATCAAATGGAATTTTGTTAATGCTCTTTTCTAAAACAAGTTTATATGTCCTTGAATAAAATGTGTTAGATTAGATAGATTTAATACTCTATATAATTTATTTTTTCTTTATGACATGACAACAGTTTAAATCAAATTATTACTAAAATATTATTTTCTGTAGTGGCTTAGACAGTAGTTCTTGTTTCCAATGTATATCACTTTTGAAATCCTTAAGTCGAGGAGGTCGTACAATTATTTGCACTATTCATCAACCTAGTGCTCGTCTGTTTGAAATGTTTGATCATTTGTATACCTTAGCAGATGGACAGTGTGTTTATCAAGGTTCCACAAAACAACTTGTACCTTTCCTCGGCACACTCGGTTTAGAATGCCCTAGTTATCACAACCCAGCATCGTATTGTAAGTAAAAAACTATTTATTAATTTAAATATGAACTTCACGTACTGGAATAAACTCGTGAGGGAAATGGGCAATTAAAAATATAGGGCTATTTCTCAATTACATCTTACGTAATATCTTCAAAAATATTACAGTTAATAGTTATTTTTTTTAATAATGGTTTTTTATCGCGCCGCTTAACACGAAAAATCAAGTTTTTGTTACCATCCCTTATACCTTAAACTTATGTAAACTTTTGATTTTCATATGTCAACCAGAATTTTTTTTGTATCATTAGATTTATTTGATTTGAAAAATGATGTTTTCGTTGTATTTAATTTTCAACGAGTTATGGCTGCTTAAAGTTTAGGGTAGATAAAAAAAAAACGTATTTATTTTTATAATATGGTAAAATTATCTTGTTGTATACCAATAAACACTACCGGCTCATAGAAATACAATATCCTAATAAATATGTTGCCTTTTAAAATTAAAGTACGTTTTTTTTCTGAAGTTCTAAAAACTTTAAATATCTATATTTATTGAAAATCGAAAAAAAATTCAGTTTGACTGAATCTGATATCATATAAACAAAATTGTGGTGCCATTTGAAAATCAAAAGTTCTTACAAGTTTAGAGTATACGGTATGATAGCAAAAAGTGGATTTTTATGTAAAGCAGCTCAATAAAGAACCATTATTAAAAATAATAATAATAATAATGATTACCTCTAGTATTTTCGAAGACATTTTGTGAGGTATAGTTGAGGAATCATTTTGTGTATTTATATTCATGATATAAAACACAAATTTTCTTAAGCACTCTATTTAGATATTATACTGAAAAATATCCATATAGTTTTGGATGTGTAGGGGACACTAACTATCAAAATTTATATATTCTTTTTCAATGGGTTAAATATAGATGTATATAATGAAATTTATAAGAGCTAGTATTGGACAAAAACAATATGTTACTGATGTTTTATGTTAAGTTTCCCGCAATGTACATTTTTAATTATAATTATAATCATTGAAATTTTTTACAGTAATTGAAGTATCTTGTGGTGAGTATGGAGATAATGTGCAAAAATTAGTTAATGCTATTCAAAATGGCAAATGTGATATTCAACCAGGCAAACCATTCCCAAATAATGAAATTTTGAACAATTCCAATCAAAAAGAAATAATTAAATGTAAGTAAACATCCTTAATTAGAAATTATCAGAAGTTATAATAATGCATGCTATAATCATCTATAACTTTTTCAGCTAATAACTTATCATCAAACATTGTTGAAAGTGATAAATTATCTAAGCCTATTGAGTCAGATGATATTCCTACAAGTAAGTTGTTAGATTAACTTAATAATGATATAGTGATAAAATAAATTGTTTTATTAAACAATGTATGTATATTTTTAGTTGACAATGTTGCCATTCGTTTAGAAATGGTTGAAGAAGAAAAATCAAATGATGCCGATAAACCAACTGACAACTTGCTAAAAAATGGATTGCCAAGCAATCAAAAACGCTATGCAACGTCTGAATTTTTACAATTTTGGATTGTTCTTAAGAGAACTCTTTTATTCAGTAGAAGAGATTGGGTAAGTAAAATTAATAGCTTAACTATTGTAAATTTAAAATTACTCATACTATTTTTATTATTTCAGACTCTCATGTACTTGCGTTTATTTGCTCATATTTTAGTTGGATTTTTAATTGGATCATTGTATTATGATATTGGTAATGATGGAGCTAAAGTACTAAGCAACCTTGGATTTTTGTTTTTCAATATGTTATTTTTAATGTACACATCAATGACAATTACTATTCTATCTTGTGAGTATTTCTTCCTGTAAAATTTTCAGTTTTGATAATAAAGTAAATTTGTTTTACAGTTCCTTTAGAATTACCCGTTTTAATCAAGGAAAACTTTAATAGGTGGTATTCTTTGAAGTCCTACTACATGGCTATTACACTATCTGATATACCATTTCAGGTAAATTTAAAAATAATTTTTAATTAAATATATATATATATTTTAAATTATATATTGATTTTTTAGACTATATTTTGTGTCATGTATGTGAGTATTGTGTATTACATGACATCACAACCCCCTGAAATGATTAGATTTGCTATGTTTTTGTCAGCATGTTTACTTATTTCATTTGTTGCACAAAGTGTTGGTCTTGTAGTAGGTGCAGCAATGAATGTACAAGTGAGTACAATTTGTGCTGTTATAAAGAAAGAAAATTGTGCAATAATATATTTTTTTTTTCTTTAGAATGGTGTATTTTTGGCACCAGTTATGTCTGTGCCTTTCTTACTTTTCTCTGGTTTCTTCGTCAGCTTTGATGCTATACCAATTTATCTAAGGTGGATCACTTATTTAAGTTATATTCGCTATGGTTTTGAAGGTACAGCTATAGCCACTTATGGCAATGATAGAGATATACTTGATTGTCATCAGGTAAGACTAGTTAAGTAAAATTTTAAACAATTAGTTATTGTTGATATTTTTATTTTAGGAGCATTGTAGCTTCAAGAAACCAAAAACAACTCTAAGAGAATTGGACATGCTTGATGCAAGCTTCTCATTGGATATTATTGCTTTAATTATTATTTTCTTTGTTTTACGTATATCAGCTTTCTTGTTCCTTCGTTGGAAACTCAAGTCTTCACGTTAATATATTAAAATTACAAAATTTAAGCTCTCTGGAATATGTTTATATGAATCTAAATTAGGTGTTTTTAATTAAATTGCCTAGTTTTTTCATAAGTATATAAAATGTAGTATATATCTGTACCAATCACTTATGGTTATGGTTTTCAAGGATTTTTTTCTACAATATTAAATCTTAGTAGAATTTTATATACCTTATATTGAATATTTAATATTAATTTTTGTGATTTAAACATTCATGTAATATTTATTCTGTATTACATAAGACCAAAAAGTGTTTTTGATATAAACTTTTAAGTATAAAGTAATATTGTAAAATTGAAAACAGATAATTACAATTTTTAATTCTTTATTCTATAGTTATTACTATTTTAATTTTACTTTACATTTTTTATAATTTATTCTTGGCGAATTGTAAGAACTTAAACCAAAATTTTTAGATTATGTTGTAATTTATTTCTTTATAATTCACCATCTTCATTATTATTGTTTAAATAGTTTACATTATTTTGTTATTATATACTTTGATCTGATTGTTTTACATTCTCTGAATAATTTTTAGGATTATACTTTTAATCCTAACTTTTTAGGTACCATCCTTATTATTGACTAGTTAAATTATATTTGATGATATAATTGTATATTTTGAAATATAAAATAAAATAATTAATTAAAATAAATTCCTAATATTTTAATGATGAAAAAAGAAGTGTTACTAAATTTTATGAATGTAAATTTTTTCAATAGAGTTAACTAAATTTCTCTTGCAATAAATTTATTGTAGATAGGATGATAAGTTACATGAATACTAATTAAAAAATCACTCTGTATAAAATATATCATAGTAAATTTAATTCATTCTTAGTTCACATTAAAACTAATATGTGGTTATTATTAAAAAGAAAATTAAGTCATAGCACATTTAGAATTGTTCAAAGATGCTAAAAATGCAAAGCCCTATGTAATTCACCTCCTAAGACAGGTACGGTGAAAAAAATCTGATTAAAATAATAATTTTAAGTGGTATGTATTAAAAATCATTTTTAAAGGCGGATGAATCATTTTTTTTACCATGGAAGATATGATATTGGTTCATTATTAAAATGATCCAATTATAAATGTGATTATTGAAATAATTCAATTATGGTCATCACTACATTTTATCATTTTTTTGTTGAAAAACTCCTTGAAATTGTGACAAATCAAAGATAAAAGATATAAGTGACATAATGCATAAGAATCATCTTTATAAAACCCAGAACAGCGAGGACGTGGCATAGTTAGGTCCAGTATAGATTTAATCTGACAGTGATAAAAATCACTATCATAAACGCTTCGATGCAAATCTGTAGATAGTATTTAATTTTAAAAACTGGTGGATTATACCAAAATCAATATGATCTCATATTTCCTTATTTATATCCTGATTACAAGTTTTACGATTTATCAGTGTAATATATGAATAAATATTTATTATAGCAATTAAATATAATATGAAATTGATATTTAATAATTTAGTATTGTAATTTTTACGGAGAAATTATAAAGTAGTTATTAATTTTATGGCAAACGTATATAAAAATTGAAGGTCTTGAGCAATACTTAAAAAAAAATTGTTTTGCACCGATTTTAAATCTGCAATTAGAGTTTCGCATATGGCTTAAATAATAACAAAATCCTTCTAATTAATATATCAAATATTTGTGTTTGATTATTAGGTTACGTATGAAATAGATATATTTTAATTAAAAATAAGTTGAAAAAGTTGTCATTTTGAATCTCCTCTATGGGAAGGTAAAATATCAGATTTATAAAAAAAAAATACCTCATGCATCTATAAAAAAAATTATATTGATTTGGTTATTTTTAAAAAAGTTATGGTACTTTTAAATAAAAAATATTGAAAAAATGTCAAAAATTAGCGATTTTTAATCTTGTAATTATTTTGGAGATTTTCTCCATTTAGGGGGAACGAAGAAAAATTTTCAATTTTTGAGGGTAATGTCTTCGACTAGTTACAATTTGTGATCTTTTGATGTATCGTTGAAAATCGGTTCGCTGAGAGCTGAAAAAAAGTTGTAAAAGACACAAAAAAAAAAAACACAGCATAGTAAAATTATTACCTTCGCATCAAAGCTAAAATATTCTTAACCAACTCTATAATAAATAAGGAATAGCCATATTTTTAAATCAAATCAATCGTTTGCTCAATATAATCAATGAGATCATTAAATGCTGTAAACCTATCCTCCAATTCGGGTTTATTACGTTTCACAATTTTTGGAGTAGGTCTTAGGCTAAAACAAGTAACTGAAATAATTGTAAAATTCATATGCACTATTTTCACAATATAATATCTGTATGAACAAATAAGATGTTTGTTGGCAAATATCTTATTTTGACTGATCTCTTTTCCCTTAAAGCACGCTTCCAGAATTTTAGAGACTAAATAATTTATTACAAACAAAGAAACTTTTAAAGAAAAAATTTTAAACTCAAAATTAAGGATTGTTAAAGTGTAATTTTCCTTTAAGGTATTTCACATAAGGCTTAATTCATAGACCTGAAAACTGGTTTATAGGTCTATGGCTTAATTCAATGTCAAATTTCCACCACTGTTTTTTAGTTTGGAAAAAAAAATATCAGTGTCTGTGAGAAGAAACAACTTAAGAATTTTCTTAATTTGGTCGATTGCCGACTAACTATATATTTTTAACGATTGGGAGAGTGACGACCCCCAAAATTCTTAATGGTACCTACTCTGGCAATTAATGCAAACCAATATTTTAAATTATGTTTCTGAAGTATTAAAAAACCCACATTTATTTGTTGTTAAGAAGATACACTATTTAATTATTTTGAAAATTAGAAAATAATTTAGTTTAAAAATACTAATACATTAAAATTTATATATGTGTGAGCATCAAAAATTTAATTTTTTTTGAGGAAATTAAGATTTTAATATTTAATATAAAAATTAATTAAAAACCAACTATATAAAAAAAAAAAACAAAAATTTGATTTGCTATTTTGATTGAAATAATTTTTTTAAATTCAATGATATAAAAGTCAAAAATAAATTTCTGCTTTAATCCAAATAAAATGTCTTATTCTATGGTTATCATAGCAGTACCTCCTAAATAATATTGTCATGTCATATAGCCCACAAAATTGTAACTATTATTTCTTATACTTCATTTAAACTAAAAATTCATTATTAATTTAAATATAAAAAAACCCAGCACAGTGGGGGTCGAGGCACAGTGGTGATGTGGCATAGTTGGGTCAAGTATAATGATATCTGACAGTGATTAAAATCACTATTATAAAAAACGCTTCGATGCAAAAATCTTTAGATAGTGTTTAATTTTAAAAAAATTTTTAATTATTCCAAAAGCTACATGATCTGCCAGTTCCTTATTAATATCCAGATTCAGATAAAGTATGTCGAATGAAAGAGAGATATAAATATTATTTCTCATAAAAAAATTGTATTGATCCATACACATTTCAATAAGTTATAGCATTATAAAGTTAAAAATATAAAATAAAAAATCGAGAATATTCACACAAAAACAGCATTCGGTAACTATTTTCACCGTGAATACAAAATAAAGTCCAACATTTTTTTTTGTTCATAGTAAAGTATATTACATTATCTTTAATTTAAGATATATATATATAAGTGTCAGAGTTTTTGGAACACTTTCAAAAGTTAAGTTGAAAAAGTTGTCATTTTGAATCCCCCCCTGTAGACAGGTAAAGGGTTACATTTATAAAAAAAATATTCAAAATGAAAGGTAAAGACATCATGCATCTATAAAAAAAAATTATATTGATTTGGTAATTTTTAAAAAAGTTATGGCGGTTTTAAGTAAAAAAAATTGATAAAATGTCGAAAATTAACGATTTATAAATTTGTAATTTTTTTGTAGATCTCTCTCATTTACGGGGAACGAGANGACATCATGCATCTATAAAAAAAAATTATATTGATTTGGTAATTTTTAAAAAAGTTATGGCGGTTTTAAGTAAAAAAAATTGAAAAAATGTCGAAAATTAACGATTTATAAATTTGTAATTTTTTTGTAGATCTCTCTCATTTACGGGGAACGAGAGAAATTTTTTCAATTTTTGAGGGTAATGTCTTCGAATAGATACGATTTGTGATCTTTTGACGTATTGTTGAAAGAAATCGCTTCGATGAGATCCGAGAAAAAGTGGTAACATACAAAAAAACACATCATAGTAAAACCAAACCTTCTCAGCTACGCATCAAAGCTAAAATAGTATAGATGAATATTAAATATCAAACTAAAATTTTATATTTATTATCTATAGAGTAATTCAAGATCATTTAAATTATTATTTTCTATTAGATTATGTTTAATAATTTTTTATTATATAATATCTAATATTGTAAAATATGCTAAGTCTTCCATACTTTATGCATGTTTTTAATTTAAATTATCCAACAAAACTCTTATTTAAACTAATATATAAAGAGTCATTTGGTTTAATTTTTGAACAATAAAATATTTGTTTAAGTTTTAGTAACTTTCCTTTGTATGTAAAACAATAGTATGAATTAGGATAGATTTATACTCGAACATTCTACCTACTGTTTAATATTAATTTAAGATTTTGCAATATCAATTTAGTAAGTAGTCACTGTTGGATCTTAAAAAGTTATAATACTCATATAACTTAATATTAAAAATAAAAATATAGTTGTGAAATTTTGACTTGCGTATAAAATTAAATCTTTAAAAAATTCATAAAAATGAACTTTCGATTAATACAATGTTTAAAAAATTAGATCAGGTTGGCCTAATTTATTGACCTGCGCAAAATCATGAATATTATCATTTAAATTTTATTTACCAAATCCATATTTATAAATTAGAAATGAATGTATAAAAAATGCCAACCGTGTTTTAAAGCTGGTTCTACTTGCAAAATAAAATCGGAAACGAAAATTTAGTTCATAAACTTTGTTAATTATTACCAAAAATTAAATACCATAAAATAAAAAAAGTTGATTGATTAACTGAAATTGAAGTCTGTCAATGGAAGTGATTTTAATAATACAATTAAAACCAAATCAAAACATGTTTAAATTTTAAATCAAATATAAAAATATGACTAATATTTACTTTAAAAAGTTTAAATTTGTAGGGAGTTTTTCATATTATATTGAATGGAACTATTAATAAGAAATATTAAAACAAGGTCTACGTATTTCTATAATCATATACAACATTTAAGGATGTTTTAAAATTTGAAGACCTACAAATAGTATACCTGTATTCTCTAATTACTTAAATTGTGTGTTAATAATGTTTTATAAAA